GGATGTTAGATTGAACTTTGATTTTGTACATTATTTTTTATGGGGTTTTAACTGCAATGGTCCTTGTTTTATACCCAAATTTTATTTTGATGCTCTATTTTATTTTTTGTGGTTTATGTAATCCTTATACGTCCATTTGCGTCGCAATTTCGTTTTTCCACCAATTCTGTTTACTTTCGTCAATGTTAGGGGTAAATCAAACATTTTACTTCTTGTATATATGGTAAATCAAATATTTCTCCACCATAGTAAAAATTTTTTTTTTTAAAAAATGATCAAATAAACCTAGAGACAATATGCAGGGACGGACCTAGGACTTTTATGTCGTAGGGTCATAGTGTAAAAGTTCAATTTTTTTTTTATAAAGATTAATATAACATTGAAAATGAAACTACAATACATTCATTCATAATTCATGTAAAAAACAACATTAAAAATTACAATTGGCCACGAATAGGTTTCATATTTTGAAAACGAAGCATTATAGCTTCATTTTCAATACAATCAAAAACATCCTTCTCAACATAAACAAGTAAGCTATCACTCAACCATTGATCTCCCATTTTGAAAAAAAAAAAAAAAATAATGTATATACATAATTTTAAATCATAGCACGACCCTCGTCAATGTTGATATACAATATGCATTCAAATGATATACCTGATCAAAATTCAGTCTAACTACATGGTTTCAATAAAAAAAGAAAACAATGATTCTAACTACCCTTTGTCAATTTGCATTTTTTTTAGCTGGGTACAGAAAAAATGATTTTACATAGTTTAAGCTAATATATGCAAACCAATTATTCTTAATAGTAGAAGAGGTAGATTTCTTCGCCATGCATGAAAGTAGTAGAAAGGGTAGTTATTAATATATTTATAGAGGAATTACATTGACCATAGTCTTAGAGAGATCAAACTATATTGAACGCGGGCTCTAGATTTGAAACATATTTACCAAACTTGAAGAATTGAATTCGACAAACTTGAAGTAATTGAAGCAATAAGTAGTGAGGCGTGGACTATATATAGGAAAGGACATAAAATATAAGGCATACATGTACGAACACATAAAATATTGAGGATCTGACGTGGATACGAAGCATGCAACGAATGAGGTCCAAAATAATTTAAAATAATTAATTACTATTTATTATTTTATTTACAAAATTAGTAAAATATTTAAATACTAATTATACACTAAATAAATAATAATTAAAGTAATTAAAAAGGACTGAGGTATTACCTAATTACAAAAGAGGAAACCGTTTTGGCAGTATAGCCGCGCGGCTCTACTTCTATACTGTTCAAATTATTTCAATCAAATGTATAAAGTTACTTATGTCAGAACCTATAGTGATCTCCTCTTCTACTGTACTCAAGTAGCTATAAAGATGCTTTCACCATCATCTGTTCAAGGGTTCCAACAATTTCATGCAGAGGCATGTTCGTCAAATTAAATAAACTAACACAATGTCTTGAGCTCAATCATATGTAACATGTGTTTATTTGTGCCTTAAATTGCAGGTTTATCTTCTTATGAGAATTCATCGTAAAAACTTGACAAGCCTTGTCGGATATTGCAACGACGAAACCAACGTATGATTGGGGTTCCTTTGTAGGTTAAGCCAGAAATAAACAAGGCTTTGCTCCTCTATTCTTCATATGGATGCAGATAGCATATAAATAATAATAATAATAAACTAAATACAGCGATAACCATTCATTTGAGTCCACCTCACAATATCATCTCATTTTCTGAACAGTTCGTCAGTGGTGGAATATATATTAGAAGTTTCACCAGTGACTAGCTAGCCTGCAAAGAAAGTACCAAAAACACTTCATGACATTAACTCTTGGCCAAATATGTTGCCGTCTACTATTAAATTTTTTTCATTTAGATCTCACATGATCTGCCCCAATATGTTTGATTAGCTAATGGAATTAAATAATGTGATTCTTTACAGTTCACTTTCTAGAATTATTCTGTCAAAATATTGTACTCTATAGATTTGCTAATATCGTACATAAAATGATAACTCTGCATATGGTTTCTCAAAGTAGAATAATATTATCGCAGAGAATGAAGCCATTCCTCTTTCCACTGCTTGGTGGCTTTGCTTTTATGCTCCTCCTAGTTCATGCCCAGGATGATCAAACAGGTATGTCTATCTCCAATTGCCCCAAAAAAAAAACAAAAAACAAAAAAAAGAAGAAAAAAAAGGTTGCTTTGGTAACAGTGTATAGTGTAAGCTTGCTTTGGTAACAATTGTTAATTCCTTTAAAGCCATAACATGTTTAACACTAACCTGAGTCTGACATGGTGCTGGCGCATGAACTGGATGATGCTGGAACAGATTGGCAGTGCAAGGTATAGAAGTTCTTCTCCTGAGAATCCGATCCTTATAGCTATAACTCTGATGGGTGAATTTCTGTTTAGCTGTGTTGTGTTATTCGGATCTAGGAGGGAGCCTTCTATTTATATGCATCTCTCTAAGTGTCTTGCCCATCAAGAAACACTTAGAGATATCCTTCATGCTATAGGATTAATCCATTTCAATCCTTGTAGAACTAGGAACCCTTAAGCCTTCATTATCCTTATTGAACACTGTTTGAGGCTTGCCTAATCGAGATAGGTTTTGAGTTCCTAATAAACAATAAGTCTTTGTAATCCTAAGTTGATTAGAAGATCACTTTAGTAGGTTTAATGTAATAAACCTTCTTACATTCTCCCACTTGATCAAATAATCAATTTAGACTTATTGTTCATTACTTAATGGCCATGTGGAACTCAAAATTCTCTTGTTCCTTTTATCAAGCCACTGTCATTTTGAAAAATTCATAAAGGACTATCGAAGTACATGGATATATAACATCCAAGACTTTTATAATCACATACATGAATCTGCAAAACACATAAGGCTTCCAACTGGATTGAAAAACAAGAACTGTTTTTGGTTTTACTGTATGTGTGACAAAACTGAACAGTTCTTTGCCCACCCTTCAAAACTACCAAGGTTTCAACAATCTTTAATGACTCATTCATAGATTCAAACTGTAAACATAATGTTGACATGATTACAGTTTGGCCCTTTGTTCTATTTGTCATCCATAAATAGCAAATGCAGAACATTGTATAAAAGTAATTCAATTAAATCTGCAAAATAAAACTGTCTAGATAAAACTAGTTAACAAAATCA